TAATGAGCATATTAAATTGAAATACCTTTGCACTAATTTTGAGAAAGAAACAAAATGTTTCTTTTTGTCATAGGGCTACATACATATACTATTAAGAGTATTAATGTCCTACCTGTAGTATTATTTCAGATTTAAAGCACAAATACATTTACGATTAAATATTATACATTTTATGTAGTAATTTTATTTCATGACTCTTTTACGTTGTTTTTGCCTTTTACTGCTCGTCATATCTAAAAATAGATTGGTTGTATCCTTCAACGAGATGTTATCAGTCGTTTGGGCACTTTCACATTTTACTGGTATAAATCAGCAATTTTCAAACAAAAACGCTATACAGAGGATGTTCAAGAAATAACGTTACGAGGAAATCTGTTCCAATAAACAACGGGCATTTACAGATCAAATTTTCAAGAAAAAATAAATTATAATTATAAATTACACCTACAACCCTTGCGAGTATACGCGCTTGTATCAAACCTCTAAAATTTTAGATTATAATAAAATATATATCATTTATGTAGGTACCTTTCTAATTTAAGATAGGGATTTGTCTTTCAAGAATTAATTCAGAGGTTTCCCCCATTAAAAAAAGAAATACAAACCCCTTAGCCTTAGTTGAGTTTTTAAGATTAAATCATCCCTGTACGTTTAGTTATGTAGACAGTGTCACAATGACTTTTTGTCGACTTGTTTCAGTTTTATACACATACAGATCCCCGTACCTTTCATTTGAGACCACTCGTGACCATATTACATTCACAATATTCGTATCCAACAGCTTTTCTACACTCTTTTTCAATGAACGTAGAATTATGAGACCTTTAACTTTTGTTGTATAGTACCTACAAGTATCTGCGAATAAAAAAAAATAACAAAATTTTCAATTACCAGGGATTATAGTCCGTAGGGTCCTTTTTATATGAATGCATTGAAAACATTAAGAAAAATATTGTACTTTGCTAAAAATTGAAGTAAGTAATAAAACTCATAACAACATTGTTTAACTTTATGATATTTCAAAAAACGTACATACATTAAGTTTGCAGTACTTGTTTAGACTAAGGCCAAACGTATCTTAAATGGTAAAATGGCATTTTATTTCTATGTTTTACAGAATTACTACGCACAATAAAAATATATAATTCAACAATTTAACATATTTTTTTGTTATTTTAATGCTTAAGATAAAATCATATTGATTAAAATTATATTATAATACAACCTTTTACAATTAATATTTTTTATTAACTTCCTTTATAATAGGAAAATCATCATTGCAGGTGGTACCTGAACAATTCATACATAACTAATTGCAATTTAGTGCAAATGTAACCCTCTTAAACATAACTTAAATTTAATTAGGGATCAGTCATCATTAAGTAATTCATCTATGTCTTTTAAAATATCATCTTCTGCTCTTAAAGTTACACTTGTATCATCTTCGTCATCTAAAAATAGTATATCGTCAAATTTGGACGAATCCTTTGAATCGTATCCCAATTTTGTCATTTTTTCTTCTTCTTCAACTTCTGACAATCTTCCATCCAGTTCGTTTATTCGTTCTTCCCGTTCATTTGTCCTTTCTTCAGTTATTTCTTTCGGTTGAACTTGAGAGGAAGACTCACTTTGACTAGTTACTATTTCGTCATTTTCGTCATCAAATAATTTAGGTCGTTTTAATTTAATTTTACTCTTCGAAGCTTCTTCTGTTGTTCCTTGTAAAGCCCTTTTCGTTTTCTTTATAATATTACTCTTTTCTTCCTTTTCTACGGGGGTTTCTTCTGCTTCGTCTTTATCATTGGAAGTACTGCTTACCTCTGAGCAAATATCTGTCTCAGATACTAGAGTGCCGTCCGAAGCTTTCTGCTTTTCAGCCCTTATTTCTGCTAATGTCTTTATTTTTATTTCACTGATATCAACATCCTCTTTCTGATTCGAAAATGTGATTTTCTTTTTCTTTATTCTTGCAATGGCTTGTTTAGACTCTAATTCACTTGGTGCCAAATTAATTTTTCGTTTTCTGTTGTCTTCCAAGTTGATAATGTTTGGTTTGTCGTCCACTTTTATATTTAATCTTTGCAATATCCTCGCTCTGAGATCTTGAGTTTTTGTGTCCTCTTCTAATTGGTGAACAGGAATTATTGTCACTTGATCAGAACCTTTTTTTAAATAAACAGACGTTAACTCACCCATTATCAATTCATTAACTTACTGATAAAATATTTAAAAGCTACACACATTTAACAATATTTTAAATAAAAATAAAAATTAAATATTTACTTTTCTTAGTTTATAATTTTTTGTTTCGTGGTGCCCAAAAAAGGTAACGAGGATTGACACAACAATTTGTATTTTAAAGAATAATTAATGAGTTACTTACCAGGATATGAATAAAAAGCTGCTGACTCTGCTTGGATTTTTTCCAGTCGAATTTCTTCCAAGGTTTTAACTTTAACAACCCTCTGGGGTTGATTAAACTTAGTTGGAGAGTTGGTAGTAGCAGATTCATTGTCCGACTCTACAAGAATACACCACATTAGTTTCAGCCTACTACTATTAGTAATTTATTGAAAGAAAAACATTTCAATATTTTATATTTAAATTTTTATAGTGAATTGAGAATTGACGAAATGGCATCAGCGAAGAAATTAGTGCAGTGCATTCTTGCAGACGAAAAAAAAAGACGGTTGCAAAATAAAGAATTTAATATTATCTCTCTCTCTCTCGTACAAATTTAACAAAATTAACGTAATTTTCGTGTTAGGAGTTACCATGTAATATTTACAACAACATTACACTTTGCTATTAATTAAACAACTTATCGAATAAATTATAACACAAATGAAAAAACAATCCCATAAATCTGTAAAACCAATAAATTTTTATGTTGAATTTTTTTTCTTTTTTCTTTTAATACAAACTCCCCATCTAACAATCAATAATTTTGAGTGCTAATGAAAATATGCAGTACAATTCATAGCATTAACATTGTCGCTGATATTCGATAGTCTTTTCAATACATATTACAGCCTTGATCGAACGCTGAGTTACCTTCAATTGCTTTAATAATTAATTAAAATTATCATCAAAATTATTGAATTCTTAAAAACGTCAAAAAAATCATTTAAAAACTTTCAGTAAGTTCCTCGAGACAAAAGTCTT